AGGTGTGCAGAGACACTCTGCAAAAATATACAATACCAAATCTCAACTGGAGATTTTATTTTGACGATCCCAGTTTAATTTAAAGGGTTTAATATTTTAATAAAATGTCCTTGACAACTTTTTTGACTGTTGACTTTAATCCAAATTCTGTAGTACTCCAACTGATTGAAAGCATTTTTAGTAATTTGTCATTGTAGAATGTTATATTAACTGTCTAATAAAATCCTTCTTGGCAGCTGCTGTAAGTATTTGGCAGACAAGCTTAAAGTGAGTCAATTTACACTCGTGCCACTCCAACCACTTCCCAGAATCCATCACCGTGATTGGTTTAGTAGATTACACACAGATATTTATAGTAAATAATAGTAAAACCAAGAGCCTCCTGCCACTTTTTATCTTTTATTTTTATTCCCACTGTAGGTGCAGGTGGGTAGTTCCTCTTATAAGACGAGGTCGAGTGTGGAAATGTTAGCAAAACCTAAACCAAAAACATCCCGTTCAGATCTAACTTAGAGGAAACTTTGCAATTATTAGCATCAAACTTGTTATTTATTAGGAAGACTCCAAACAGTCTAAAGCTTTAAGACAAACTAGAATGAAGACTGCCAAGAAGATGATATTTAGTCCAAAAGAGAAGCTTATTTCACTCAGATGGCCGGATTTCTCAGCTCATCCCTAAAATCTCTAATTATCCATTTCCATAAAGAAAAGTGAAGACAACAAATTTGCTAGTTCGTCTGGTCTTCTGTGCAATGTTCCGGTTTCTGACACCAATCAAGGTTTACATGACTGGACAGAGGCGACGTAGTAAAATGGTAAGACTGCCCTCTAGTGGCCATGCAGATGTTTTATAGCTCTCTTTTGTGTGCAGGGGGATGTGAAGGGTTACCTCAGGAGCTGCAGAACCTCTGAAACCATGAGCCCAGAGCCCCTGATTCTTCAAAGGATGGCCTGTGACATTTCCTCAGGCCTCCTGCACCTGCACAAACACAACTTCACGCACAGGTAAAGAGTCATTTCAGACTTAAACCTGAGAAATCCGACTGCTGTCACTGATGTTCAGTCAAGCAGGCAGTCTCTGTTTACCCTATTGCCATTTCCCTTGTTCATAAATAACACAATTATTCTGTATCATCAGTCCACTTTTAGCTGAAGCTGTTAGTTTTGTGTATGCCTCAGTTCTGCCCCAGCACAGGCCCCGACTCACCTTCAGTCTGATCTTAACCAGACTTTCAAAATGCAGACCAAAAGGTGGGACTCTCGTAAATGCCTGTATTTTTTAAATATTTTAAAACGGTCCAGATTGCTATGACTTTATTTCCAAATCGTCAACGTATTGTGTTAGAAAGACATCAGCTAGGACTAGCTGTTGTCCATATTTCTAAAATTAATTTTTACCAGAAGATGGTCAAAGTTATTAATTTGTATTTACCCTGGTGGCCTGGAAAAGAGAACTTCTTTGGGAAATGCAGAAGTTAGAAGAGCAGTCGCACATGTTCAAAAACATTTCTACCCTTTGGTGAAATGCAGAGAATATTTGCACAAAGTGACCCGACTACCACTCTTTTGGTGTCCAACAGATACTCAGGTTTTTGCCCTGATGACGATCATTAATTTAAGAGTCACCATCTTCTCGGACAGTAGAATTAAAGGACGTCTTTGATTTTAGCCATAAGGTTGTCGTCTCTGTGATCTTGCTACAGCAGTGAGCCTGTATACCATAACTTACTGTTCTTC